GGCGGCGGCGGCGGCCGCCCCGATGCGGCGGAAGCAGAAGCGGCTGCTGCAGGTCGTGGCGCTGGCGCTCGCCGCCCTCGTCTTCCTGCCCAACGTGGGGCTCTGGTCCCTGTACCGCGAGCGGCAGCTCGAGGGCGGCGGCGCGGAGGGCGCCGCGGGGGCTCCGGCCGCCGCCGAGGCGCCGGTGAGTGGCGGGGGCGCGGGGGGTGGGTGGTGCCTGGGCGTATGGATATACATCTGTACGTCTATATGTGTGTGCACGTGCGCCCTGCCCTCCCCGTCCCGGGCGGGTGTCTGTGGCGTCCCGTGTGCGAGGGGCTGGTTATGGGGTGCAGGGGGGTCCGGCTCGTGGGGGGCTCCAGGCAGCTGGTTGTGCCGGGGGGGCTCTGCGTGTGCACGAGTGGTTGGGGTGCGGGGGGGGCCCTGCGTGTGCAGGGGGTCTGTGTGTGTGCAGCGGCGGGCTGGGGGTGCAAGGGGGGTTCCATGCACTGTGCCAGGGCACTCGTGGGGGCTGCGTTTGTTGGGGGGCTCCCTGTGTGAGTGGTGCCCGTGGGGCTCCCCCCTGTGCGAGGCAGGACCCGGTGGGGTGCAGGGCACGGGGAGCAGCCGCTCTGCCCCCCGTGGAACCCAAGCCCCCGTAGCAGGGGGCGAGCAGGGCGAGGGGCCCTCATGGGTGCAGGCATTCCCACTGCATCCCCATGGAGCGCTGGAGCCCGCGGGGATACTCCCAGGAGCGGTGGCAGCAGCTGCCCTTACATAAGGAGGGCAGCGGCGCTCGGGTGGCTGCTCCCATGGCCCAGGGTGAGAGGGAAAGGACCCAGGTGAGAGGGAAGCACCGGGACGAGGAGCAGGGGGAGCGGGTGTGGGGGTGCYCTGCATCTCCGGGGAGGGGGTCGCGTTCCTTCCTTCCTTCCTTCCACATACAGGGACCGAGGTCAGCTTGGTTTCGTGTCCCTGCTCAGCAGACAGGTAACGTGGGAGCTCTGCTAAGGCAAGGGGAGTGTGGGGCTGGCGTGCCCTTCCCAAGGGTGCCCTTCCCAAGGGTGCCCTTCCCGCTCCGCTTCTCCCTGCCCGACACTTCTTTGGGCAACTCGCATCAATGGGGACCCGTGTGGGCAGGAAGCGCCTGCAGGAGCTGCGGGTCCCACCAGGCCGATGATCCTGCTCCCAGAGGCAGCCCTTGTCGGAAGGTCCCACCGGGCACCCACCCTGAGCGTCCCGCCGCCCTCGGCTGCCTGCCGTCCTCGTCCTGCCGAGGCGTCAGCAGCATTAGCTGCAGACAAACCCTCGGTTAGCGTGACAGACAGCAGTACTGGGTCGCCCAAATTAGCCGTTTGTAAGCTCGGTTTAGCTGCGTTCCGTTTTGGCTGCATAGCTGCTCTATCGCGCGGTGGTTTGGCTTGGTACCACGAGGAGCGACTGGGACCCGAGAGCCTGGCATGTCGGCGTGCCGCGAGCCTTGCAGCTTCGGCTTTACAAGGCTCTCCTTGTTCAAAGCCACTTAAATTCTTAGTTGTCTAAATCTCTCCCTCTTTGGAGACTTGCCACTGTAACGGCGCTGCAAAGGTGGCAAAACTTAACTGGCAATTTTAGTGTGGAAAGAAAGCGCGTCCTCTGTGGGAGGAAGAGCCGCTCCGAGGTGCAGCTCCTCCTTCCCAGCAGGAAGCACCGCGCGGATGCAGGCGTGGAGCGGGAGCGCGGGCAGGGCTCGTATCGCATCCTTGCAGCTCTGTGCGCCGAGAGGTCGGTCGGTGTCTGCTGCAACGTCTGAATGTGTCCCGATTCCCCAAATGTGCCCAGAATTATCGTTTTTTTAATGTGTATGGTGCTCATTCTGTGCCTGGTGCTGCTGTCTGGCACCTGCGGGTTGGTGGCAAGCAGCAAACCCGCTCTGTGTCACTGTAAAGCCCAGCCTTGTAGCCTGCTGCTCCACAGCTCTGCCTAAGCTGGTGTTAGGGCGAAATGAAGTTCGAGGTAAAATCACAGGCTTTCTGCAGGAGGCTGGTGCATGCTCTGCGGGGCTTCAGAGCTTCCTCACGGTTAGGTCCGTATGGTCTGAAAGCAGGAGCCCCTTACTGGCCTTGCAGAGCCATCCCTGTAAGGTGCCTTTGGGCTGGGGTCGCTGCAGGCCGGGCAGTTCCTACAGGCTCCCATGTGCATGTTTAGTGGCCTTAATACTTAGCAATCTTGTACTGCCCATGCTGTACGTTCTTCTTTACCCTGCGTTTATTTGAAGCAAGACAATGRTCAGTAATTTGAAGCGTCCCTCCATTCATTGACATCTTGAGCAGGGCAGGAAATGTTTGCACAACATCCAGGAAACCTCGAAATAAGACTTGTTTGTGCCCGTGGGAGTTGCAGGGTGTGAGGCTTAATCCTCCAGCCCCATTAACTGGGGTCCACCTGTGRGTGCAGTGGGTCTGGGTTATTATAGAAATAACTTCAGATGAAGCAGAATAAAGATAAAGCCAACTTGTGGGGTTGCTTTTTTGAGGGGTTTGGGTTTTTTTTTAATTGTTGTTAGGGCCTGATCTGCTGGCTGACCGCAGAGGGTTTATTGGGCTTTTCAGATGCGATGGTTACAGGCTCTCTTCCTTGGTCCTGACAGGCATTCATGGGTTTTGTACTTATTGATCAAATTCCAGCTTGTAAATGAATATGCTATTTGTGTCTGCTTGTTCAGTGAAGAGCTGGCTTGTGAATACCAAAACTCTACTTTAAGATGGTAGGAGGCTATCTCACAGAAAGTGATATACATAGCAGTCAGGGAATAGTTTTTCTGGCTTTAATTTGCTTTTTTGTGCCAGCTAATCTTTGAATTGAAGACAGTTCAGATGGAACCCAGAGTTGAGCTTTTCAATGAAATCTCTGTCCAGTCTCATTCTTTCTTTTTGAATGGTGTGTACTGATTTCACTCAGTAATTTTCTCTTTTGGAGCAACTGGAAAAAGGGGAAAGAAGAGTTTTAAGAAGCAGTTGGATTTAGARTGTAAGGAGCAGCTCCAAGGACATAAAGCTGCAATGCAAAGGATTTAAATTTAAATGGCACTAGGAGTTTGTCCAGCTGCATTCCTTGTGCTGCAAGTTGCCTTCAAAACGGCACTAAATCAACACCGGGGATTTTATCTCCTTTAATCTCTSTAGTGCCAAATGCACAAATGCATCAGAAAATTAAGCAATCAGAAGCCGTGTAAATACATTCTAGGAAAAATTATGCTAAACTGTTTCTACAGAAGTGCCTGGGAAGCTAATTGCTTCTGTATTTACATGTTCAGGTGAAACATGATGCTGGCTGGAAATAAGGTWTTGCTTTAATAGCCCCAGGGAGGTCGCTCTGCTGGATTTCTGCCTTTGGGCTCTTCCTGGAGCTTTCCYGGCTCCCAGGAGAAGGGGAGACTTYAAAGGAGCCGATCCTGGGACTCCTCTGGTCCTTGTAGTCACTTGTCATGCGATGGGGACAGGGGGCAACAGCATCGAGGTGCCCAAGTGCTTCTGCTGGCAACCGGCAAGAATGTCACCTCAGGAGCTGCTAGTGCTTTAATTTTATGTTAATGCTTTTATTTATCGCCTACTTTTATTAACCAACCACTGTGCGTTTCTCTGAAYGGACACATAATGCAGACTGAATTTTGTATAGTTTCCTCCTTTTCCACCTTTTCCATAGATATTCAACAGGTCATAAYCCACAGCTGGTGGGGGTAGGAAGAAGCTAGAGGTGAATTCAGTGATTCCTGCTGTATTTTAACCCTTGKCTGTCTGCTGCTGGTGGCCACCATCTACCGAAGCATTTAATGGATGTGTGATCCCACGGTGCCTAGAGCAGTGGGCTAGTGGTTGTGTTGGGGSTAATTCCAGTATTTCCAAGATTCCTAGCGCTGTGATAGCGATATTGCTCTGCATCCCTGGAGCTGGAGCTGTGCTGTGTGCCCCGGCCATCGGGAGGAGCAGGACCCTCACACTGCGAGAGGTCTCAAACCTCAATTTCTCATTCTTTGAATTGCCAGATAAGGTAATTTATTGTAGCAAACTACTTACCTTTCATGCTAAACACTTTATCTGATGTGATGCATGCTTTATAGAGTCGCCCTGTAGCTTGTTGTAGTAATTTGTGCTCTATAAATTCCCTTCACCTGTGATGGAGCTACATAAATCACATAGTTGATTGTGTGGTGCCCTCTGCTGCCAGGACCCTGGAGTGAAGTCAAACGATCCTGTTCATAGGTAGGTGCTGGAGAGAAGCTGTCAACTCGTCAGTGAAAGATGTTTTGCAGGAATGTGCTTCCTGCAAAGGTTCGGGTCAGGAGCTTTGGTTTTAGCAGAAATTAGTCATAATGCTCCCAGGTTGTGCTGCTGGAGAGGTAAGCTGAGCTGTGGCAGGAACAGGGAGCAGTGCCGTGTTGCTTTCCAGACTGGCCTCCAGCTGCTCCTGTCCTCAACAAGCAGTCGTCTTTGCACYGTTGACCCGCAGACAGCTGTGAAGCTGCCAGGGATTGTCAACTTTGTGGTGTTTCTTTGGGTAAAACAGAAGAACCACCGTCACAAGGAGGATGTTTTAGCAGACCTTTTGTGCAGGCCAAGCTGAGGGTGTAGAAGAAGAGCTTGGGAAGTGAGAGGACTCCTTCATGCTCTTTGCTATTCAGAGATCAACAGACTGACCAATTTACCACTTTCCTGGGCAAAGATTTCTCTCCTTGCTCATGCCCTAGACACTATTGGTTGGTCGGAGTTCTGGGACTTGGTTCCTTTCAGACCTTTTGGAGATGCCACGTAGCCAGCTGGGCTTAACAGGTRCTTGTGAGCTGCTTTAAAAGCAGACCTTGAAAAGCTTATCTTGCTATCTCGGTGTAAAGGGCCTGGCAGGTAAGCAGTGAAGTCCAAGCACTGGGGCGGGAGTGACTTATCCCCAGTGTCAGCTGTTCTAGATAAGGTTGATTGTTCCAGTGTGTTTGCGGAGCAAGCAGCTTTTCCTGGGCCAGATAAGAGTGCTGTAGCACCTCTCTGGATTAACAAAATGAGCTTGTTTAGAAGCTGGAAGGAATCCAGTTTCCTTCTCCAGTAGATACTGGTGGGAATCAACGCCTGGAGCACCCAAGTTTTGCTACCATAGTAATGGTTTGTTGGTAAGTTAATCAGAAAATGATTTCTACCAGACTTTTAGCTCGGTGTTGTCATATTCCTGTTTAAC